AAACTGACGTTACCGAACGCCTCTGTCATGCCAGGCACATTCTAGGCCAGTTTCTCAGATTCCTCAAAACCAATTGTTCTCAACCATTTTTAGTGGGTGGTCACATACTCCTTTGAGAATCTGCTGAAACCTTCGATCCTCTTCCCCAGATAAATGCATGTTATTTTGCAAATATGTGAAGGAGGTGGGTCAAGGTCAAGAGCTCCTGGTGTAAACCTGGGCCGTTTTAGGATTCTCTTAGGTACCAGGGACGTTTCTTCTCTTTTGGAGGCCCCACCCCTCATCATATCAAACATTGTCATATATATCCACAACTCACACTAAATTACACACACACACAACCAGAGTTAAGTTGAATTACAGTGGACTGTTTGACAGTATTACATTTTGTAGATATGTAACAAAGTATTAATTTCAGCTTTGTGTTTACTTTTCCTATTTTGGACCCAATAAACTTTTTTGGTAAATTTTATTGAAATGTACCATACCTATAGAAAAATACACAAATCTTAAGTGTGGAGCTCAATGAATTCTCACAAGGTGAGCCTGTCTGTGTAACCAGCACTCTGCTGGAAAAACAGAGCATGAGCACCCAAGAAGTCTCCCCAGGCCCCCTTCCATTCACTATGCATCATCCCAGGACAGCTGCTCTCTTAACGTCTAACACCAAAGATTAGCTCTGCCTGTATTAGAATTCCTGTTGCTTTTGTGGAACTGATAAACTTTTATTTGGGCCTCAGACATCTTCCGAGGCCTGTAAAAAGGCTCGTAGGCTCCGGGCACTGTCAAAATCGGGGCTTCTCGACCTTATTTTCACTCTCGAACCTCCAGGAAAACTTTTAAAAAGCCCTAATGTCTAGGCTGCACCCCAGAACAATGAAATCAGAATCTCTGGGGATAGGACCAGACATCAGTGGTTTCTCTTGCTCCCTGGGTGACATTGACTACAGCCAAGGATGAGAGGCACTGGCCCACGCGATTTTGTAAAGTATTAGTACCCCTATCTTACACCTGGAGAGGACTGTGGGGCTCGAGGGGTCTCCACCACGTGCTACCCTCATAAAGCCTGAATTCCAATTCAGGTCTCACTAGGAGTGGTATTTGCATTGCCTTCACGCTTGGTAAATAGTAAAGTCCAAACGAAGCGTAGGTGCCTCCTGCCAGAAACTTTCCTTACTCTGAGTCCTTCCGGAGCTGTGGTCAAGGGAGCTAGGGTTTCCCAAGAACAAGGCGGTGCCCCAGGATCTGGCCGTAGGGAGAGTCACCGCCAGCTGGACTCCATCTTTGCCCCACAGGGTTTGGGAGCCCTGGGGATGGTTCCCAGGCTGCTGGGTTCCGGGGTGCAGTGCACGATTCTGCCGCTCGGTGGCACCATGAGCTTCTGTAAACCCTGTGGTTTTCACACACCCCAAAGGAAGCTAGAAAGCAGTCTGGCAGCAGTGACCACGGGGGGAATGGCAGCCCAGAGCTTCCTGGGGTTCCTCTGCTCGCTGGGGCCTGACAGGGCCTGTTCCTGGCTGGCCAGGGGGATGCAGAGAAGTGGCTGTGACCAAACCCGAGGAGGAGGCCACTTCCCCCATAACTGAGCCAGCAGAGGAGAACCAGGGAGAGAGAAGCCATGCCTCACCTGCTCCTCCCCGCTCTGCCCTTCACCCAGCTGCCCCCGTGGGCTCCGCAATTGAAGAGCACAGCCCACCCACGCTCCCATGTTGCCTAGAAGCTCCAGCCCTGGGCTTGGAGGTACCAGGCACAGCTCCAAGTCCTTACCTGGGAATCTGCCAAATCCTAACCTAGGATGACCGAGGACCTCAAGCTCTGACAGGGTCCCTAAACCTGGGTGAACTTTGCCTAGATTCAAAACCAAGCTCTTCCACTTCCTAGTTGTGTAACTTTGGGCAAGTTATTTAACTTCCGTGAGTCTCAGCCTCCTCATCTGTAAAATGGGAATAATAGTCCACATCTTACGATTGTCATGAGGACTAAATGGTTATGTGGCATCTTAGCCTAGCGCATGGCACATAGTGATAAAATAAATGTTAGCTACTATTGTGTATTACTACTATAAATAATAACCAACAGGACAGAATGAACTTACCCACATGTTAAAGAACAGCCTCCATTGTGACAACCCCACACACCCCAGGTTTGAGCAGAGGCAGTGAGTCCAGCCTGCCCCAGGGCTCAGGGAAAGGCCCAGCTTCCCCTTAGGAGCAGCAGGCACAAGTGTGAAAGCCACCCAGAGTCCCAGTCAGCACCAGCCAGAGGGGATGTCCCCAAAGCCCCCACCCTGGGGGCTGGAGCCATTATCCCCACAGTCTGGTGAGATCCTCTCTTGGCCCACAGACCTGAGTGCGTGACCCTGGCCACCCTGAGGCCTAAGGCAACTTCCATCCAGATGCCATCGGCATGGTGTCAGGTTGAGCACTGGGTCAGGAGATCTTGGTTCTAAATTTGGTACCACTGTCGGTCAGCTGTGTGAACTGGGGCAAGTCACGTGACCTCTCTGGGCCTCCATTCTGTCTCATTTAGATGATCTTAAATCCCCTCCCAGCTCTAGCATGTGGTTTTATCAAAATATCTGGTACACAATAGGTGCTCAATAAATGTCATTTAGTCTTTTAAAATCCAACATACGACTCTGCTAGGTTCCAACACCCTAGTCTTTAAAACTGAACGACTTCTCTGATGCAACCTCTAACAGGGCCCAACCCAGGGTGAGAGCTCAAGAAATGGGTGTTTATCTCATTACTGACTTTTGACCTGGCTCTCTGTCAAGCTGCTCCCTCCACCCAAGGCTGCAAGTGCCCCATAAAGGCTCCATATTAGAGGATCCAGAGGGTAGCTTCCCCACTAGACTACAAGCTCTAAGAAGGTAGGGTTGGTCCTGCCCACGTCAGCCTCACTGCTTCTTCAAGAACACCCAGCCCCACCTCCTTGGCATGAGGTGGGTGGGCAGCTGAGCATCCACTCCCTGTGGTCCTGGGGCATAGAACTGATGGCACCCCATCACCATCAGGGAAAGAAGTGGCACAGAGCCTCAAGCTGGGCAAGTCCTTTTATTGGAAAAAAATAATAAAACCGAAGGCCACTGCATCACCTGTGCCCAGCCATCCCACAAAAGAGGCACAGGTCAGACATAAGGCCCGGCCACACAGTGGGCCAGAATGGGCATGGGCCAGGCCGCAGCCCTCTGTGGGGGATCGTGGGACCAGGACCCGCCCACTCGGGCTCAGGGCCTGCCTCTGGCTCCCTGGGTAGGCACCTCCCTCCCACACACTGCTGTCTTGTCCAGAAACAATCAGGCCCCTCTTTGGTTCCAGAAAGCTACCTTCAGCGGCTGGTCTTTCACATGCACTTGTAGCACCTCCTGCCGGCTGAGGCAGGCAGCCTCTCTGTCGGTCTTCAGGGCACCAGGGCAGGGCTGCTTCCTTCCCACTGGCCGCCCTGGGCCTTGGCAGGCGGGGGCCTCGGTGGCTGGATGCTTCTCTTCCCTTTCGAGAAAGGAGTTTGCCTTTTCCCCTGCAGGTTGCCAGTTCCTTTGAACATCCACAGAAGCCTTGTTTACACGGCCTTAGAGAGCTCCAGAGCCTGGGTGGGCTGAATGGGCAGCGTGTGTGGCCCTGTTGCCTTGTCACCGGGAGCTTGGGAGAGGGACACAGAAGGTCCCAGAAGGTTGGCTCTGCTCTCCTAGACCCCCAGCTTCTCTTCTGCTAGAATGTACACAGTAGAATCAGAAGGTAGGGAGAGCTTTGCAGGCAGGGGAGAGACCAGGAAGAAGAGCCGAGCTGGCAGCCCCAGGCAAGGGGCAAGGAGCTTTAGGACATTTATTTACAAGGGGACAGGCTGGACCCATGCAGGGAAGCAGCCACAGACTATCACATACAAAGATAAGACGGGATGCAGAGAGGGGCAATCATTGGCCTGGCAACCAAGGGGAACAGACAAGTGCACGGTCACATACACATGCACCCACAGGTGCAACCACACGTGTACACACACACAACTGCACTCACACACATCCATCCACATGTGTGCTCATACACACACATACACATACACATGTGCATTTCTGCACATAGCACACTCACATATATGCACTCACACGCGTGCCTGCATGCACACACACTCATTCTCACATACACACAGGTTCTAATCTCAGGAAGTTGGCTCCAGTTCTGAAGGTTCAAACCTCCCAAGGCTACATGTCTCCATGAAGCATTTCTCCAGACCCCCAAATAACCTCCTAGAGCCCCAGGCTGTGTGCCCCACAACCAGCGCCTGATGTCCTGCAAAATCTCAGGAGTTGGATATTTCTTGGCAAGGCCAAGGTGGCCTCCAGGCTTTGAGCAGAGGAAGGGGAAGCCAGGAGTCCAGAGCAGAGGAAGGGGAAGCCAGGAGTCCAGAAGAGGTCAGGAGGGGACTGAGCAGCTCCCATCTCCCCAGACCTCGAATCGGTGGAGGCAGGATCACAGACAGGCGGAGCCCCTGCAGTGGCACCAGAAAGAGCAGACACTGGGAGACAGCCACGGGGAGCAGGACCCCGGGGGGAGAGAGTCCTGGCGGATGTGGGATTTGGGGTGAGGAATCATGCGGGATAAGGGCATTCTCTCTGGGACCTGACCCCCCCTCCGGGTGTTGGGTAAAGAGCTGCAGAAGCAAAGGGCTGTCCAAATTGTGTTGGCCCCACCCCCACACCCTCACCCGAGCCTTCCCCTGGAAGATCTGGCTGCGTGTGACCAGACCTCCCCCATGGAGAAAATGCTAGGTCAGGAAGTAGGCCGTCCTGCCAGGGGTGACAGGCAGGAGGGAGTAAAGGGGGGCGCGGGTAGATGGCCCGCGGGAATCACCGGGCCAGTCACCCTTCCTCCCGCCCCCCCCCTCTGGGGAGCAGCAGGGGCCCAGAGAATGACTCAGAAGCGGGTGCTCTGGTAGCGCAGCCGCCGCAGGTCTGAGAGGCCCTCAGTCCGGCCGTACACCTCCCTGCAGGGACTCTCGGCCAGTCACCGGGCCCCCGCCCCGCCGCCCCCGCCGCTGCTGCCGCTGCCGGAGCTGCTGCCGCTGCTGGAGCTGCCGCTGCTGCACCGGTCCTCGTAGATGGAGATCTCGATCTGCGGCCGGCGTTAAGGAGGGAGCCCCTGCCAGCTGCCGAGAAGGGGCGGACGGAGGCCAGCAGGGGAGCGGGCGGCCGAGCCGGTGCCGCGTCCCAGACAGCGAGGCCGGGAGGCCGGGGGCGCTAGACCCCAGCCCCTCCGCGCTCTCGCGGGCGCTCGGTGTGCACACGCACACAGCGACCTGCCGGGCCGAGCACTGCGCAGGCGCACAACCGGAAGCTTCCGCTTTAGTGGGTCTAATTACCAAACACCGGGACAGGTGGTGGCACGGCGTGGGAAGTGGGAAGACCTCGGTGTCCCGAGTTCTAATCCTGACTCGCTTTCTCTCGAGAGATGGGACTTCAGACCGGTCATTTAACTTGTTACCCATGAATGGCCGCGTGTGTAAAATGGTGGTAATAATGGAATCTTGGGGTAGCTGGGGGACTGATTGAAATAACGCTTGTAAAGCTCTAAGCCCAATGCCTGGCACTTAGTAAAAACTCAATTAAAAAAAGGCCCCTCGCACAGGGCTTTGTAAACAGAAGATTCCGGTCTTTGTGTTTTCTTTCCTCGTTTTCCTCTCAATTTTCCAGTAAAAACATTTTTTTAACACTTCTACTCTGCGAGTGGGCTGTGTGTACACCTTGACCACACTTTTCCAGGTGGAGCGAGCAGGCCTATAACCCAATTCCTGGGCCGGCCGCCCAAGACTTCATTTTTCTGATCTGTAAAGAGGGGCTCAGGACGTACACCCAGGAGAACACGAGACCGTAGACATGTAAACGTGTGCAGAGATCCGCGTGTTCCCCGAGGGGCAGTGCAGCTTCACGGTTAAGTGTGGGACTGGGCTCAAATCCTGGCTCTGACGTTCACCGGCCGGGTGACCCTGGGCCAGTGATTTAACTTCAGTGGGCTCGTGGGCAGAGGGAAGAATAAGAGTTACCCACCTTGTAGGGGTAGTACGAGAATTACATCGTTTCAAAGCAGTTAATATGATACCTGGCATGTATTAAGCGCTGAAGAAATGCAGCCCAGTAAAAGCAAACCCTGAAATTCACAAAAGGCGTTGATAACTTATAGTGGGGGAGGAGAGCTGACGACCAGTGATGTGGGGAATCCTGGGAAAATCCCTGAGCAGAGGTCCCTAGGGTGGTCCCTATTTCTGGGTGTCTTCACCAAGGAACCCACCAGTTGGCAGCTCTGGGCCCTTGCACAGAACAGCCAGGAAGGATACGACCCGCATCCCGCGCTCCACGGGGTCAGTGAGCAGGAGGCCTCGAGGGGCAAAGATCTTCTCGTTCTGCTCCTGGATGTAGCGGGAGATCTTCTTGAGAACCTGCAAGGAGAGGGGCCGGCTGAGGATGAGCGGGCAGCGGGGGAACCCTGCAGGAGGGGATGCATGGCAGTGAGGAGGGGAGCCACCTTCTCGTAGTGGGTCTCCATGCAGAGGAAGATGAAGTAGGCCGTGGCACAGGCCAGGCAGCCCTCAAGGTAGGAGCTGCCCCCGATCTTCTCCGCCTCCGCGTAGAAGCTGTTGAGGGTCTTCACGGTCTCCTCAAAGAGCTGCCGCTCAATCTGGCGGAGAAAGGGACAGGGAACCAGGTTGAGGCCAGCCTCCCTGGACCGGACAGTCACAGGTAGGAGGGCGGGTGGCAGTGGTGGGGCCACACGGATGAGGGGAGTGGCACACAGGTAAGATCGGAGAAGCTGCCCGTGGAACACTGGACTGGGAGCCGGGAGACCTGGGGTCCAGTCCAGACCTGACCATCAACTAGCTATGTGGCCTTCAGCTGATGACTTAACTACTCCAGCCTCAGTTTCCACAGCTATAAAATGGGAATAAGAATGACTACTTGGCCTCCCTTGGGAGCAGGAAACTCCCACAATATCAGAGACGTGAAGGCTTCCTGAAAGCAGACGGTCAGGCAGGAATTCTGGTGACTTCGTCGCCCCCCCATTTTCATAGCTGCAAAAGCGCCCAGGACCTAATTGGTAGGGGCTCCCCATGTTTGGATGGGACTCCAACTGCATAAGACTGATTATATGAGATCTCAGGAGTATCTTCTCTCAAAGAGGTCACCAAGAACACGACAGCCTCATGGGCGCACACAACTGGGAAGCTGTCCTGCCTGCATCCATAATCATAATAGCTAATACTCATTAAGCACTTTCTATGCTATCTATTTTTTTTTTAATCTTTTTTTTTTAATTTTTTTTCAACGTTTATTTTATTTTTGGGACAGAGAGAGACAGAGCATGAACGGGGGAGGGGTAGAGAGAGAGGGAGACACAGAATCGGAAACAGGCTCCAGGCTCTGAGCCATCAGCCCAGAGCCCGACGCGGGGCTCGAACTCACGGACCGCGAGATCGTGACCTGGCTGAAGTAGGACGCTTAACCGACTGCGCCACCCAGGCGCCCCTATGCTATCTATTTTTAAAAGCACTTTCAGGTACCAATGTAATGTTGTGTATCAACTATACTTCAATTTAAAAACAAATAATAAGATTTTTATCAATTTATCTGGCAACTGTAGATTAAATTATGCCATTGCGGGGCACCTGGGTGGCTCAGTCGGTTAAGCGTCTGACTTCGGCTCAGGTCATGATCTCACAGTTTGTAGGTTCCGTGTCAGACTCTGTGCTGACAGCTCGGAGCCTGGAACCTGCTTCAGATTCTGTGTCTCCCTCTCTCTCTGCCCCTCTCCCACTCGTGCTCTCTCTCTCTCTTTTTCTCTCTCTCAAAAATAAACATTAAAAACATTTAATTGTGCAATTGCTTCATCTGAAAAAAAAGCTTTGCAGAGTCTGATATTTTTTAAAAAGTTAATCAAAATAAATGAATAAATAACACACTTTCCCACATTTTCACTTCAGTAGCTCAAAGCTCAGCTCTGTGGTCCCGGCCACCGTCATCTCCGGCCTCTTAACTGGTCTCTGTGCCCCCAGCCCTGCCAAGGGAGGCTGCTAAAGTCAGATCATGTCACAGCTCTGATGAAGAGCTTCCAAAGCCTTCTCATCTCTCTCCAAGTAAAATCCAAGAAGTCCTTATATGCCTGCTAGGCCCTACAGGGCCTGGCCCTGCGTCCCCTGAGCCCGCCTCCTGCTTTCCTGCCCACTCAGTCCCCAACCAGCCACACTGACCACCCTGCTGCTTCCTGAAAATGCACAAGTCCTTTGCGCCTGTGTCCTCGGATACAACACGCCTCCTCCAGACACCCCCACCCCAGGCTCATACCTACAGGCCTAAGGGCTTACCTTATCTCACAGACCTCCCCCACCATTCACCTCTCCCCTGCTCTCCCAGCCCTGTGACCCTCACACACTTATTTTTCTAGTAGTGGTCCCCACTGGAGCTGCTACATATTTACTTGCTGTTTTATTCTTCACACCTTCCAATCGAAAATGAACTCATGACTTCACTTCTACATCCCCAGTGCCTAATACATAGTAGTTGCTCAGTAAATACTTGCTGAACGCTAAGTGAACTTGTCCAAGGTTACACAGCTCTGACCTGAATCTGTGTTCTTTAATAACCGTACACTAGATTGGGAGGTCACGCTCCAAGCAGGTGTCAAAGTGTCTGTAGGCCCATTTTTTACATTCCTCAGAACACCCCCTTCCCCACTCACCACTACAGGATCAGAACTGTCCATCACACAAGCTAGCATGGGACCTTCCATGCCCATCTAGGACAAAAGGTCTCCCTAAGAATAGTCAGAAGCTTTGGGGTTCCCAGCCACTGTCCCTACACAGATCTGGAGGGAACGCATAAGAAAATATTATGCTCTACCCCAAGAGTCGCCCTGCCCCAAAGGACAGGTGTGTCCTTTGATGAGATGAGGAGACCTCACAGCACCCTAAAAGCTGGCTACCGATCAGATTAGCAAAGGCAGCCCTGCCCCACCTTCCCAAACCCATTCGGATAGGCCTGGGCTGCTGAATGAAAGAGCTGGGGTCTGCCTACCGCCCTCTAGAGGGCAGACTCTCTAATTCCAGGACAGTGCTACAGCAGCCTGGGAATGAGGACCATACGCACCCCCGAAACCGGGAGCAAAACTGGGCAGAAGGAGATGACTTGCAAGGGGTTGGTGGTCCATGAGACACCCAGGTAGCTGGCTGAGTCTGGAGGGAGGGGCTGTGGGCAGAGCCCTTGGTCGATGACCTGGGCATCGGGATTTCTTAAAGGTCCCCAGGAAATTCTAACATGCAGCTGGGGCTGAGACTGCTGCCAAGAAGTAGAGATTCCTGAAGCTGATGCCATCAATCGGACTAAGGAATCTGTTTTTGTTTCATAAGCTCTCCAGGCGACTCTTGTGCTACTGATGTTCCAAGGCCGCTGAACTAGGAAATCTCTGAGGCTTTTTCAGCTCTAACTTGCAGTGAGGTGACAGCAAGACAATGTTAGGGACATTTTTTAATTCTGCCATGTGAAGTGCCTGAACAAGTTATATGTCACATATTACTTTCATCCTGGAAAAAAAAAAAAATACATTGGAATAAGTCCCTGAGTTCCATCACGGCCTATGTTCCAAGTTTAGAAAAAAGACATCCTTACCCGGCTGTCCAGCTCCGGGGGGAATTTGGTCTGGAACTGACAGATGGTCCCATCACTGTAGTCTCTCTGGATAAAGACCTTGGTGGCCAATGAGGCACTTCGCCGCAGCTCCTGCAGATTATGGACCTGAGGAGGCATACAGGAGACTCACACTCAGGGTGACCATCCATCTAGGTTTGTTCAAGACTGACGGAGGTTTTCAGGATGTGATTCTTACAGCACTAAACCAACAAAGTCCCCGGCAAACCTGAACATTAGCCACCCTACAAGTGCTCCAGGAAAGTCATGGGGAAGCAGAACTGTGGAGTTGACTAGAGAAGACACGTCAAGCTATCCCAGAAAGATCTAGAAAAAAGCCTGAATTAGGGCAAAAGCTGAGCCAAAAGGGGATGATGGTTCTGGAATCATCAACAGAGCCAGAAGCAAATTTTAACAGGAGGAAAAGACTTCCTGGTAGCTGGCCCAGATCCTTCTCTCTCTTTCCCCTTCTCCCTCCCTCCCCCTCCCTTCTCCCTCTCCCTCTCTTTCCCTTCCCCCTCCTCCTCTCTCCCTCTCTCCCTCCCTTTTCCTCTCCTCCCTTCTCCTCCCCTCTATTTCCCTCCTTCTCCCTCCTCCTCACTCTCCCTCCCCCTCCCCCACACACAGAGCCTTTCACACTTTTGTTCACTCACCAAGTATCAAATATTCACAAATCATCAGGCCTCGTGCTTGGGGAACCCAGCCCTGAACAAGACTGAGGTCTCAGGCCCCAGAGGTGGGGCTTACAGCAAGGTTGGGGAGGGGAGTAGGACAGAGGAGGACCTGATAGCCCACCAACTGGGAGGGAGATTCAGGTTGAGGCCAAGTTAAAGCCTGGGTCCAAGAGCACCAGGGATAGCTTTCCTCTCCAGCATGTCTCACCACAGGAAAGAAGGGGCACCCAAATGCCCAGAGAAAATCATGGATAAGGTAGGCTGAACCCAGAAATTAAAGAAACACCTTGCCCTGGTAAGAAGAAGTGGGGCAACTCTGTCCCTTGCCCACACCTGCAGTTTTGACATTGACACAAACTCTAGCACTTGAGGGGACTGGGCTCAATTAATAGAAGAACAGGGCCTCTTTCTTCCACTTCCAGCCTTCGTCACCCACATTTGAAAGAAGCATCCCACTGGGTAAAATATGTGAAACATTGGAACCATGTGGAGGCCAAGCCCCAAGGGCAGAGTGAACACACAGCCAGTTCATCCTGTGTAATTAAGGTGAATCTCTTCTGTCATTCAGCTTTCATTTATTGAGTCCCTACTATTGCCGAGCTCTGGGGATGCTGAGCAAAGACAGTCTGTGAGCTCCAGGGAAGAAGACAAGTAAATATATAATAAATTAGCCTGTGATAAATGCTTTAGAGAAGTAACATCTTACCCAGAAATGCTTACTCAGAAAAGACTTCCTGAGGTCTGTGTTGAGTCATAAAGAAGGCCAGGAGTTGCCAGTGGTAGGGAGCAGGCAGTGGGTGGGGAGAGGGATGTAAAGTCAACCCAGACAGAGGGAGAAGCTTGTGCAAAGGAAAAAGATGGCAGAGAACACAATATGCTCCAGTTGACTGCAGGCAGATTTCAGCAAGACGGGAGTTGGTTTATGGATTAGGCAAGAGCAGGGGGGAATGACAGTATAGAGGACAGTGCTATCACAAAGAGCTGGAGGGGGGCTCTACTAGAGGGGAGGGTATAGGACAGAAGACAAACTTGCTTAAAAGCTGGGGGAAAGGGATCTACTTCCCTCCCTGTAGAGTATTTGTGGAGTCTTGAGGAGTTGCTAGAAGATGGTATCAGACTCATTGTATATTCCAGAGCTTTCATCTCCCAGATCTATGTCAAGCACAATATAACACACTCATCTGTAGTTGGCAAAGAGTAGGACTTAAGGCAAGGCAGCATCTCCTGGCTCTCCCCATCCACGGTGGCTCAGTTGTGAAGTACCAAAAGGCCCTGATGGAAAGAGAGCCCACTGACCTGGGAGCAGGACACCTGGGTGCTAGTCCGGGCCACATGACCCTGGGCCTCCATTTCTTCAACTAGAAACTGAAAAGCTGGAACAACATAATCACTTAAAGCCCCTTCTAGCCCTGACATTCAAGAGGCTTTCTCGGGGATTATGAATGCAAATGTTTATAGGAACTAAGCATCTAAGTGGGTTGGGTGAGGGCTGTGGCTAATCAGAGAACCCACACCCTGTCTCAAGAAAGCGGCTGACCACTGCCATGTGAGAATGTGAGCCCAGGATGCCACACTTGGACATCTTAAGAGAATGCATAAATCCAGATTTCCTTAATATCAAATGTCTTGATTTTTTTTTTTTACGTTTCCAATAAATATTTACATTTGTAAGCACTAAGCAGACCAAATAAGGCACAACTGTGAACAAGATTCACTCCTAGAATTGCCAGGTTAGGACCTCTGCATAAGAAATCCCATCATAGGGGCCCTTGGGCCAGAGCTAGAGCCAGGCTCCAGGCACTTGCCAGCTATGTAGCTTTCAGGAAGCGAGCACAGGTTTTCAGGAGAGATCCATGATGCTCTGATCCCACAAGAGGATCCCAGAATATGCCTGCACCTCTAAGAGACCACAGCTTCTGTGCCTCCCCTGAACAGCGACTCTGGGGTTTCTTAACTGACCCTGACACCTGGGCTTCTCATCTACTTCTTACCTTCCTCAACTCTGCCCTCTCCCCTGCCACCATCCCAGGCTTGCTGGCAGCTGGCTAAGGACACACCAAGAGGCATTTCATGAGGAAGAAAGAGAAAGTCAGTGGCAATACCTACTGGCACCAATTTTTGAACTGCAGTATGACAGGGATAGGGAGGCAGCCTGAAGAATGGGCCATACACCTGACAGAGCCAACCTAGTAGAGGTGAGGAGCAAGCACTGGAGTTCAGAAGAACATTCCCAGTCCCAATCTGCCCAAGACAAACAGGAGGCCCCATCTGGCCCACATCTCCATCCTCATTAAAAACTAGCTAATTCCAGAGGATGCATTTGAGGCTCAACTCAAGAATCAGGAGATTCAGCTCATGAACCAACACCATGATCCCTGGCTGGGGTGTGGAGGAGGAGTGAGGATCGTGAGTCAGAGGCAGCCGAGTCAGGCCTCAGGATGGAAACCCAGGCACAGGGCCTCCCTTCTTCTCAGCCTACACAAGGGCCCAAGCCCAACCCACTGTCTGTTGGCTGTTAATTCCGGGCCTCAGAGATCAAACCTCCAAATGCCTTGCTTGGATAACACTACTTGGGTGCATTTAAAAATCTCTCAGGGGCCGGGGGCACCTGGGTGGCTCAGTCGGTTAAGCATCCTACTTCGGCTCAGGTCATGATCTCACGGTTTGTGAGTTCAAGCCCCGCATTGGGCTCTGTGCTGATGGCTCAGAGCCTGGAGCCTGCTTCAGATTCTATGTCTCCCTCTTTCTCTGCCCCTCCGCCGCTCGTGCTCTGACTCTCTCTCTCAAAAATAAATAAACATGTTTTAAAAAATCTCTTAGGGGCCAAACTCCACCACTTAAACTTAAAGAAGCCCCTCCCAGCCACGCATTTCCCAGTTGTCCTTGGCCATCTGGACTGTTTCCCAGGGCGGACCCTGCTCCCAGTGACACACATTTGCAGAGGTTTGTCGCTCAGGAAATGGGCTCATTACAGTTTTCCAAATGAGGTCAGTGTATCACTCAGGAGGCTTCATTCCTCCTCTGAGTTCCTCACACACACTCCTCCCTTAATGCTAACTCCTAAACAGAAATTGGGAAGCAGAAAAGATCCAGTTTCCATGCCTTCCATCCAGGGATCCAGGGACATCCATGCCTTCTCTATGTTTCTGCTTCTCTCCTCCTCACCCATCTCTCCCTCCCTCTCTGTCTTTCTGTCCCTCCCTCTCTTTCTCTCCCTCCCCCTCCTCCTTCTCCCTCCCGCTCCTTGTCTTGATCTCCTCTTCACCTCCCAAAACACCTTCTGCTGGAACTGTGGACTTACCAGTCAGAACCCAAAGGGAATGGCCAAGAAGTTTGGCATGAGGTTTTCCTTCTCCCAACAGGTTTTCCCTGGTAATCTTAACTCAGTCCTAACAGTAAAAACAGCCTGGGGAGAATGACTCACAGCACAGCCCAGATAATGTGCACATTCTGTGCCTTGGCAGAGCTAAGGCTTCCTCCCTCAGTACTGCCAGCAGGGTCCACCCAAGGCCAAATTGGGAAATGGGTAATGTTTGTCCTCTGCTCTCCATCCCTTCTGGGCATACCTCTGTCCCTCTGTCCCTCTGTCCCTCTACCCTCAAGCTGACCCAGCCAGGCTGAACAGGAGGCCTGAGTCCTTCCTGAACTCTTCCGCATCCGTTCCCCCATCACAGCCTCACGTGCCCACCTCGCTGTTGAGCAACACCGTTGGCTAACTGGATACACCTGGCTGCAGCAGAAAAAAAACACTGACCAGGGAGGCAGAAGACTCGGTCTCTAGTCCTTGCCCTGCCTCTTTTGAGCCATAGTCTCTTGAATACGTCTTGCATTCCAGTTGCATTATCTGTAAAATGGGATAATGATGCTACTTCACAGAGATCAAGCAAGCTCCTGAGCCTCGGTTGGCTCATCTGTTAATTGCGGATAATAACAGCATCCTTGCCCACTTCACAGGGTTGCTCTAAAGCTCAAAGGAGATCATACATGTGATAGTGCTTTGTACACAGGAAAGTGCTATATTCACAGAGGCATTAAAAGCAGAGCCTCTCCCAGGGGAGAGTCACGCATGCCTAACAGCAGCCTCCTAGAAACACTGCCTCAACCTAGAGATGTGAGCCTGCTGGTTGGAATTTCTGGACCATAACAGACCTGAAGTGGAGATATGATGGGACAGACGGCCTCCTGGGATCTGTCAGATCACATCACAGGTGTGGCTGCCTTCTCTGCCCACTCCTCTGGCCCAGCTGTGCCAAGTTGTCCTTTGCTGCCCAATACCAGCAGGCTTTGCTGCAGCCTGGCAGCCCTATCTGGAAGGTGACCAGATCCTTGATCATTTCTCCTTTGTTCTTCCTGCTCTCCTCAGTAACTTTGGCACTTTCCAAGCTTTCTGATTATTTATTTATTTTGCATTCCTCCACCTGTAAAACCAAGCTCCATGGGTCTGCT